TGACTGGACTGCTATGATTTGCGGTGATGCTGGGCTGATGGTTGGTGGAACATTTGTAGAAACTAGATTGAGTTGAGATAGCAAGCTTTGTTTCCGCAAAAAGCGATTTAAACTGACATAGCTATATCTGATGGGCTCATCATTCAGGCAGTTTCGACTGAATAGTTTGCTCAGTTAGAAAGTCCACATAATTAATGTGAACGCAGTTTGAAAAGACTATCCTGCAGAATAAATAAATAAAAATAAAGCCTAAGTTGCAGGATAGGAAGTAGAACACAGTATTCCGTCTGAGAGAGCATTGCCCTCTCATGCCCCCTCGTGGCGCCGGCCCAGGTAACATGTATCGCATATGTGAACTGGCAAAAAAATTGCAGGGTTTTGTTTACTTGGTCTCCTTTAACTAACAGTGGCTGCCACTAGCTAACAGTAGAGCTAACCAGTGCATTGTTGGTGCTGAGGATGCTGATGATGCTGATTCTCTCCTGAGTGTATGATGTGTCAACATGTTAGTTTTTCAAGTTAACACTGAGAACAAAGAAATACCTTTTGTTTCAGGACCTAGCTGACATCAGCTAGTTGTTTACTTAGCCTGGATAATACAGCTTTAGTACCCCTGCCTTCTCAGTTAGAGGTAACATTGCGTCTTTGGCAATGCACTCACGTTAAGGCACTCATGTTTTGTAATTGCAAAGTATTGTATAATATACATACTCATGCACAAATACATGCAAAACAGTTGCACTTCATAGCCCTGTTAAAACATAACATTTTGTGTTTTTTTGTGGAAATATAAGGAATACCCAAATAACGAGTTCCGTATTTGATATATTTGAGTAGCAGCACTTGGAATAATTCACTGAGCACTCAAGTTCCTGTGTTCATCCCTAGTGTGTACTATAGCTCATTGCTCTCATACATAGCAAGCATTCAATTAGAAAAAAAAATCCTAGCATTTACAATATTTTTTCTCATCTTAACCACCTAGCTAGCTGTCTCTGCAGCAGTGTGCATTAGGCCTTTCATGCCTTGCCATTTGTCTTTAGCGAATGCAGTCTGTTATTAGCATTACCATTAGCTAGGGAGTTTGCAGCAGACCATCAAATTATTATTTTTTGGTTGCTGTTGTGATTATTAAAATGAAACATTTCTTTAGCTTCTCTTATGGAATATTTGAGATGATATTCGGTAGAAAATGAAAATAGTTGCAGCCCTACTGACATTACTATGTACTATATACTATATTAAATGTTTTCTGCAAGTTGCTTGCAATTACACATTTCCACCAGAGAGGACTGAATCCCCAAACTCACCTAGTGCTGCTGTAAGTATTATGTTTTCTCCCAAGAGTTACATGGAAATGAATGCATTAGATTTAATAGAATGACTTTCAGTTATCTGAGGAAACACCACTACCAGTTCTCAAACATTCTAGTCCAAATGTCATTTGAAGGCTGAGCCAAAGATCACAAAGTAAAAATAAGGTCCATGTTTAATCTGTCCATGGCTTTACAGAACTTGCTGCCAAAGCAAATGTCTCCAACATGAAACGAAGGGCCAAAATTGGCAGCCTTTGTGAGTCTTATCTGGTTTAATATCACTCTCAGTAAGTAGGTAAATGTGAATAGTAGTTTAACTCAGTAAGATGAATATCCTGTGATGATGATGTTTTGACAATATATGTTGATCACCACAGCACTTTGTCAGAATACCTTAAAACAGAATCCCTCTATTGTTCTTCATTCTCCCCTTTGATCCCTGAGTTGTGACAGTGTTGTTGCTGGTTTGCTGTTTAACTGCGTGGCCTTGTGTCACCAGTGGGCTGTGGCCCTATTGATCCACAGGATAAGAGAATAATGAAGGCTTATTATAGTCAGCACTTATGAGTCACCAAACAAATGTCACTCTGTGTGTGTGTGTGTGTGTGTGTGTGTGTGTGTGTGTGTGTGAGACCTCATATCTCACTCAGAAGTTCTTTGCAAGACATTAGTTCTTTCAAGTGCTGTTAGCTTTATGGACAGGATGAGGAGAAATCACCAAAGACCAAAAAGCAATTCATTCTTCGACTGGTTTATTCTGGGACTGCAGGTTTGAGTCATAGCTTTGATGAAGATCAGTGGGATGACTGTTGGATTTTATGCGCAGGAGGTGGCTGAGGGCTTGCGCTTTGCATTAGGGCAAAAATGATTCTCAGAGATGGAGTCTAATATTGATTTGTTAAGAGTCGCTGCAACTATCAAACCTATTTTGGGTAACAAGAAACTCTTTGGAACAGCAGTAAAGCAAGCAAGGATGTACCTACAGAATATGCCGTACTCATCAAACGTTTGGACACACCTGTTCATAGAAAACTTTTCTTATTTTTGACTCTTTACAGTATATTAGAATAACAGCAAAGACATCAAAATTAGGCAATAACATGCATGGAATTATGCAGTGATCAAAAATGTTAAACAAATCCAAACCTATCTATACATGTTTTCTAACAAGCTTGAAGAAGGTCCACCTACACAGACACCTTGTTGGTGGGTGAAAACTACTTGTGGGTCCAGAAAGGCATTTCAAACAGTTTTTTTTTTTGCAACAACTCAACTGTTTGTGTCATATAAACAAGTTTCAAGGCCATTAGGTCAAGAATATGATAAAATTTACATTCAGTGCATTTACCATACTGCAGTTTAACACTGGCTAATATGTTCTTGAGAGTCAAAATAATTGGTAGATTGTTTGATGGCTTGATAGTGTGCTTGATCACTGATAAAATAGATAGTGACAGCCCTAGTTTGTATCTTAAGAAATAAGTAACTACTGTAGTTTTATAATAAGCATATAACCAAAACAAAATATGTCAGTCCATATGTACTTTAGAGCGGGTTCCTTTTTGGACATGATTAAACCATGAACAGAAGTGGGACACAAATTTTAGCTAATTCTTTTGAATGATAATCAGTATCTGTTAGAAAACAGATCCATTTTAGAATAAAACGGTTCCAATTCTGAAATCTGATCCACTTTTGAAGCCGCTGTAAAATAGCCGATATACCTATCAACTGAATTCTCTATTAATGCAGATATTAATAATGCAGATAATAATATTAATGAGATATTAAAGTCTTTCTTGTACAGTGAGCACTTTAATTTAAATGTTTTTTTATCGGTAGCTTTGGTTGCACAATTTTTTATTTTCTGGTTGACAGTTAATCATTTAATCAGTTAATCATTCCCTGCGTTGGAACTAATGGTTTTGTCCACATTTCAGGATGTAGGACTCTTTAGGGATTCTGTAGTCAAAGCTTAGTCAAAGCTTCTCTTTTCTGTTTACCAGATGTTTCCCAGCTTCTCCACCAGCTGAATCAGGGTTTATGGGCTATGGACTTTTGCAAAATCCTGCATCCTCTGCATCTTGCCAGATGGACGCTGGCTTTACCCCTGACTAATTGTAATAAATCATAAAAATGCTCTTATGACTTATTAAGCTCTTTGGTGTGGGCTGTGAAATATTTCAGATCCCACAAAATAGCTCAGTGATGATGATGGCGGTGATGAATGTGATTGAACTGATGACAGCATTTATGTTGATTTGAACGTGTGGTAATCAAACCCTTTCAGGATATGTTAGTTTTGATGGTACTTGAGAATCTGCTGCACAAAGATGCCTAATCTGTTTAGTGTTTCTTCTAGTGTGTTATCAGTGCTTATAAATAAATACAAAAATAAACGGGTGTGGTTGTGTTGGAGTGTGATAAAGCGTAAAGCTTTCAGTGAAGCCTAGTAAGGCATCTGTCAAAGCTAGTGCACTTCTTGTTTGTGTTTGAATTAGAAATGGCATGATGCTACTCTTTTTCTGATACCTTTGGCTAATATCATCTAATGTTGGTACTGATAGGGTTTATTACGTTGCAGGGTATTAAACTCAAAAATGATCACTTTTCATTGGAGCACTAGGCTTAAAATGACCATCTAGAAGTGTTTTGTTCAAACTGTCTAAAGAAGCATCCTGCTACCTATATGGAAAAAAAGACAGCGAGTATGACTCATACAAAACCACACTTTTTTACTTAGCTAAATAAAAATAATAGTAGTATAAGGTATTGTTTTCGAAACTGATTCCAGTCTGATACCTTGAATTTGACGTTTTTTTGATACCTTTTTTGTAATTGTGACAAACGAGACGTATTTACATTATTTATTAAACATTTGTCCTCTCTGCTTGGCCTTCCACGTGAATCAGTTCACGGTACTTAAGTGTACTTCATTGTAATTAAAGTGGATGATTGAAGAACTGGCCTTAGCACATTTAAAACACCACCTGCAACATCAGAACAAAACATCATAGTTAATAGGGCTCATTTTATAAAACCCTCATTTATGATAAGAGTATGTATTTATATTTCAATCCAGCAGTGGTAGCTGACTAGCTAACTCGGAATGTTTGCCTCACTGACAAGTGCCGCAGTAATTAACTTGCAAAAGTCAGAAAACTAGTCAGACTTGGATGCCGCCTGACGTTTTTTCCCGTCTTTTTTTCTTTTTTATTAAAAAATCTGTTTTTTGTTCAAAGGTGTTCTTTCTTTTTTTTTGTTACTCGGTAGTACAGAGATGTTTGTCAGCCCTACTCAAAAAACACAGAAATATTATGTGCATATCTGTACAAAATTAGTCTATTTGAAATATAGGAATTGTAATTCTAGTATGAACTTAGCAACTTGTTACATAATGGGATCAGATTTGTTCTTTTTTCCTCCAAGATCCATCCAGCATTTTCTGACGGTATTAGCCTGATGCTGATATTGGATATTGGATCAGTGCCTTCTCAAATTTTTAGTTCTGTGTTTGTGGCATTGTAGTATCCTCCATTTATTAATTTATAATTCATTTAAATGCTTAGTTTGGTGCCTAAGTATTTGTGTTTCACAAATGTTCTCAACTTGTGTTTCGTGTATTAATATTCCTCTATATTTTCCTTGTTTTTTCTGATGTATGTGTGGGTGGGTGTCACGTAGATGCGCTTTTTGCTGCTCTTCAGTCGTCAAGGGAAGATTCGGCTGCAGAAGTGGTTCTTGCCGATGGCTGAACGAGAGAAGAAGAAGATCATTCGGGACATGACCACCATGGTGCTGGCACGAAAACCACGCACATGTAACTTCATGCACTGGAAAGACCTGAAGATTGTCTATAAGAGGTGAGGAGAGGAGAAATGACATGGGAAAACCAAAAGTACTTCTTGTATTGGCTCACAAAGCACTTAAAATAAGCATCCCAGTTATCAGCTTTTGCTTTTGATCACAATTGACCTATTGATTGATTGATGCTTCACATACAAATGCATTTGTTCTCAGCAAAATGTGCTGCATTTTCTCATTGGGTTAAATGGGATTTTTACCAACAAGATTAGCTGTAGCTACAAAATTATGCATTTGTGGATGGGGCATGGATTGGTCAGTCATATGGACAAGGAGGAGCTCATTGTAGATCAGCACTCAGTCTGAGCTGTATATCGCAAATTGAGCCGATTTTGTGTGGTAATGTATGTAAAGCACACATCACACTGTGAGGCCATTTTACATTTGAAATGGTGGGAGGCTGGAGGCGATATACAAATTAACCATAGGAATGCACAGTGATATAGAAATCATATCAGTATTGGCAGATATTTGCTTAATGGTCCCATGTCCTGTATTTTTCTTTCTGTTTTCTTTTCTGTATTCTTTTTCTTCTGTACTAAAAATTGTTAATTCATTTTCACATGATCATTTCCCAACCTCTCTTTATCCAGGCTGTTTTTGTTACTGTGCCTTTAAGACTAATATAAGATTAATGATCTATGTTCTTATTGGATGCCCTGTATTGTGTCTCATTTGAATAACGAATGAATTTGTAATTTTCATGAAACTGAATTTATAATATGCTAGATTGTGGTGAGAGATGACAATACAGATGTGCACATAGATCCAGGTTAAATACTTTTTGCTATCTGGGGATTGACACATCATCTGTTGATGCTCACCCAAACTGCAAATGAGGTGAGGGTCAGTCAGTCAGGTCAGATAAGAGATAACTTGCTTGTGTCACTGTAGTCAAGCTATTGTTGGATCCAAAAGTCTGAGACCACATTGAAAATCTAGTATTTCTTCATTAAAACCTGCAATTTTTTGGAAATTGATTATGTGAGGCCTTTGCACAAAACTTTTTAGCTCCTCCTTTTAAACGTATTCAGATGACTCTCAAGTGGATTTGATCTGATGATCAGAGGCTTTTGCACAAACTTATGGAGTCCATCCCAGCTTTAGCACACGCTGTCATTAAAGCAAAAGGGGGACATGCCAAATACAAAAAAATTCAGAAATTATATAAACATTCAAAGATTCTACTTTTCATTCAAATTTTCATGCTGATATCATTTGTGATGAAAACCTTTGTATTAAATTAGAAAGGAGTACAAAATAGAAACCAGGGTTCCCAGACTTTTGCACCCCACTGTAACTCATTTAACTGAAGATTATTACAATCGTTGACAAAAAATGGATGGGAATGGGAGATAACTACATTGCTTATTTATTTATTTATTTATTTATTTATTGATTGATTGAATATTTAAAAAAAATTAGTAGGACCTGTTGGGGCACAAACAGCATACAACCCCTGCTTATGTTTAATGACAATAGGGAAATTATTCACTTCACTATAAATGGCAGCGTTAACTTGAACGGTGCAGATTCTGAACACATATAAACAACACAAAATAAAAATACAGACTTTGCCTTACCAAAGCACACATGGGTCTTTGCTGTGGTCAAATTGTTTTTAAAGCTCTGTTGTTCTTAGCTCTTAAACAGTCCCAGAATCTGGAGGTGCTACTTCCTGCATCTCTGAGCAGAAGTAGAAATTTTGGTGAAAATAAGACGGGCTGATCACGTCATGTCATCACCAGTGTGTTTTGTCTGTATCATGCAGCTGCAGTGTTTGGTAATGGCTCAGCAGTCAGAGAACTTGGTCACATGTTCCGTCCCATCTGATGGCTTACTGCCGTAGTGCCCTTTAGATCGGCTCCTCCAGCTAATCTAGGTGGAACTGCAGCTAATGTAGCTAAATGACAAAATTTAAACATAAAATCAATGTCACTCAGAGTTGAACAGTCGGAATGGTGGTTTTGTGTGGGGGTTTAAATGGTTCAGTTAGTTCTGATGGGTTTCGCCCTGACCCATAGGCTGACATCACAGTTTGAGAACAAGGACCAGAGATGCACCACTAAGAATTCTTTTTTTGCGTGCCTGACAATAGCCCCTCATTGTCCCACACTGCATGATCTCCACACTATTGTCCTCTCACAGACCCACATTATGACTCTCACTAGGCTCTCATTTGTGTCGTCACGTTTACTTTTAGATTTTCCAGCAAGAAGTGACAGTTTTCTGTGACCATAGTTAAAGTGGTTGGACTGCATGTCACCAGAGGTTCTGTGGTTTAACATACTGGAAGGCATATTCCAGTTGCAATTGCCTATGATATTTTGCAAGTGTTGTACATTTGTACAGTATTAATGAAAGACAGCTGTTGTAACAAGTTAACAGGAATATTGGAACTACTGCCTTGCATGCTACTCTCTCTAAACATACACTTTCAGTTGCTAGCAGAGCTGCAGTCCTCATGATACAATCTTTTCACAATATTTGAACGGCAGTATGATTTCTACTGTAATAGTTAAAAGATATTGCAATTTGAAAGTATGAGTTATTTTTGGTTACAACTTATTCTTCTAAAAGAAAATTGTTTTATCTAATGAAGTTTACACTTTATTACACCACATTTAAAACTGGTTTTATCCTTACATACATTAACAGATGCTTTTATCCAAAGCAGTCCGCTGTTACAGATGAACGTAATGCCTGATGACTTTTAGAGATGTATTGCAGGGATGTTTCCCCTTATAGAAACGGTGGTATCTTGTTGCTTAAGGCAGAAGTGCATTTTGTTGATCTCTTACATGCTATTTGGACAGGATTGGTTTTACATGAGAAGGTGGGATAATGTAATTTTTTTTACCAGCATTTCTCCTGTGATTTAGTCTCTTCCAAATCCACCATGTAAATATTCCAACTAGTAGTGGGTGGTATGATCAAACAATTTTATCACAGTGTAATTACAATATATTAAATTTCTGGCAGCTTCGGTATATATCACAGCAAGTGTGAGTTTTCTTTTGGCAATAAAAAAACGTTTAGAAATTTGACAAAGCTGAAGTTGGCTTCTTAGTCAGATTTCCCACCTGCACGGACACCTGAATGACTGCAGCACTAATTAAAAATCAGTACTTGGGCCTCCATGTACTGATACTTTTCTTAAAGCTAAATTATCTCAATATTATCTTGTACTGATTTTTTTTTTTCTTTTCTGACACTCCTATTTGCTAGAGAGTTCCATTTGGGGAATATATTTGCCTCTGTAAAGTTTTGATGCCTTTTTATTTTATAGCAGTATTTATCACAAAACACAGTGAGTACATTTACAGGCACTTAAAAATCCAATCATAATTGGATTTCTTTTTCAGTTACTTGATTATGGTCATGTAAACAGCATACTCCAATTTCTTATATCAGTGTAAAGTCTAGAAATCCAATTAAGAAATCCTTTAACTCTTACTCTGATTTCCTTCAGATTTCTCTGTCTGCGCATATGTGAAAACAGACCGCGGTACCGGAAATATGCAAGCAGTGTTTAACATGGCACCTGCGAGAAAAAAACTTTTGGAATGACACAGAAACAGAGTACATGCTCGACAAAAAAGAAGGATGGACATATTCTTCATCTCCTAGGTTCTTTTTAGAATATGTTTATATTTTTAGGTAAAGTGGCGCAATGTTAAAACGCTGCAGCATGAAGTTAGTTTTACGTCACATCTTCTGTGAATTTATTGGCTGGTTGCAAAGCAGAAATCGGATTACTGCTTGACTCATGTAGACCTGGAGTTTCCCATTATCTGATTACTTAAGTGCATGTAAATGCATTGATCAGATTACTAACCAAATCTGATTTTCTGTAGTTATCAGACTATTAAATGCTTGTAAACACACTCAGTGTGTCTTTCCAACCTATGTTGTTCAGCCCTAATTAGTGATTGTCCATCCTGCCAAATGACGATAAGCAGCTATTTCTGTACACTGCATATTTGTCTTTTGTTCCTTACTCCTTACACACCTGTTTAGCTAATCAGCTAATTAGCGAGTCCTTCGTGAGCTGAGTCAGGTGTTTTGGCTCAGAGAAAACAGAGATTTGCAGTGCATAGTGTCTTCAGCACTGGGGTTGAGAACTTCTAAATTAATTGCAGACACATAAATCTCAGTATTGTTAGATAGTTGTATAGCATGATGATACTGTCTCATCTAAAGCATTAATAAGATGGAGCAAAAACAAATGCCCCATTCAAAAATAAAATGCTGGAGAGTTAACTTGTGAAATACACACTGTTCCTCTGATGTTTCTCGAGTAACACGTTTTCTGGGAAGTTAGCACTACTCACAGCGCAAAGCGAGAAATGAATCCTCTTCTTTTGCTAATTAGTTTAGAAATAGTCCCAAAGAACCTTTCAGTCTAATTGTTTGTGTCGAGAATATTATACCTATAAGTGCTGGGGAAGGGTGAAGTGATTTAATAATCACTTGTTGTTGGAAGTCATGAACAGTTACAGATAAAATACAGAGATTTGAAGCAATAGCAGTGTTATATAGTGTTAAATATGGCAAATCTGCTCTTGTTGTCAATTTTGAAGGAACAGCTTTAAAACTTCTGCCTAACTTAAAAATTATCTTCTTATTTTTGATTACGTCACCATACACCAGTGGGCAGGAAAAAAAATTAACCAACCTCCCACCACTCACACCTTATCATCAAGTAAAAACGCTCAGCTAGCTCAGAGACCCTCCCTGATACAGCGTTTCACTCAGGAATACATCATGGTACAGAAGGAAAACGTACTGTTCATGTTGACTTGGAACTTCACTAGTTTGAGAAATAGAGGCCTAAAAAAGTGGCTACAGAAGCAGTTTGACTTGTTCTGGGATTTTTTGGTGTAAAGTTTCATTTTTGCCATTTTATGGCTTGCCGAAAATCCATAGAAAGCTGTGTGCATTAGATCAACTTTTGGACCTCTGTCTTTCTATACTGAAGTCCATCAGATCCTTTAAGTTTTGTTATGTATTACTGTCACCATGCCCTTTTTACCAATTAGGCATTAGTCTTGAAGTAATAAAGATTTTTGATTTATGAGCTATTGTAAAAGAAAACAGTTGCATAACACCAACAACCAAAGCTTACCATAAAATAATATTATACTGTTGGAAAGAGCACATTTCAGTTTACAAATATAATATTGAACTATGTCAAATACAGAGATGTTAAATACCAGCATCTAGAGCTGGGCGATATGGCCAAAAATGTTATCAAGATAAACAAAATTCATATTGTTCAGTATCAATGCATATCGCGATAAATGTCAAATTATTATTTCTGTCAAGTTTGAAGGCTGATTTTTGCTGTGGTTATTTGCTGTTTTAAACTATCCTTTATGGTCAGAACATGGCAAAAACACTTGCCAAACAGTGGAACATTTCACAAGTCTTGGGAGTGTGGGAAAAGTTTCTGGTTAACTGTTTTTACCAGCTGGAAAAGCATGGCTGCAATTTTTGTAATAGTCATAATTTAAAAAAAAAAAAACAGATTATTTTTGGCTGTCTGGTGACGAGTGCTAGGCTGTCCCGTTACAAATGCTAAACAAGTGGCCAGCAACAGTGCTAAACTGGTTAGTTTCTCAACAACATCAACTTAGTACGAACAGCAAACATTCGCTGGCTCAGTACGTCAGTGATGGATCACACTGCCTTACTGCCTTCATTCCTACCACATCCATGTCAAAGCATTACACAGTATTCAAACACCAGCTAGCAGATGTCTGGATTTCTCTATAGTAGTTTGAGGGGTGAACCACAATATATCTAACACCAGAAAAACGGAGTCCTCCTTTTAGGTACGTTTAAACTGAAATAGGTGCTTTTGTGTCTTGTTTGACCTACAGTAACATCAGTTGGCCGTGTTGTGTGAGTGATGGAGCGCTGCTTCAAGTTAGCCAGCTGCTAAAAACAGCTAGCCTGGAAAGATAGCGTTCTCCCTCTCTCCAATGCCTCACAGCTTCCTCAGTTTACTTTCGTTTAAATCAGGGCTGTAACTGCATGAACCCACATCTCTCTTTCACTTTCGTTGCTTGGGAATGCACCAATACTTAAATATGACTGTTTGAGCATTGTAACAGCGCTGTAGTTGTGAGGAGCAGACGTGATTTAATGCTGCTAAAGCTTGTTAGGATGTACAGAAAGAGGTGAGTTCACTGTAGGTCAGTACAGTTACGCCACTTGTCTCGTCACTCACACTTGGTCACAGGAGAACAGATCGCCGGTCACTCCACTCAAACAGGGAATGATAACTCCACGTTTCAGACATTGCTAAAGTATATTTGGCGACTCATTTTACTCGTCACCCCCTCCCTCTGTAATCATGTCGAAAACCTTGGAAGTGCGCCCTCTCCTGGCGACAGCAGAGTAGTGTGCTTTCCTTGCAGTAGAAAATGCCACCAGGGCTGTCGCTAGAACATGGAAGTGTGAGAATGGTGTATTATATCGAAAAATCTATCGAACAGCTCTTATAGTTCTATCGAGGAAAATTATATCGCGATAGTTGTCGTTATCGTTTTATCACCCAGCCCTACCAGCAACCTGCATACTATACAATCATGAACAGTCAAAAAGAAAAGGGCTTGTTCAAGTTTGCACCTTTTTTTGTTTTTTTAGGCCACACCCACTTTTAAAAGTCTCAGAAACAATTGAAGATAAAAGCTTAACATTTTGCGCACTACCCACTGGGCACAATTATATCATTTCCTAAAAGTATTAAGTTGGTCTGAGTTGTTCAGTCAGGAGGCCTTCATTGAATTCATAGACTGTAGTGGATTTTAAAGTAAATTCTGGTAATTAAAAATGTACTCAGTACTAAGGTTATGAAATTGGTTTGTGTTGTGGAAACAGTATGACGATTATGAAATAAAAACACAGCAAACATGTATAGACTACAACTTTCATGTAGCAGCACATCCACAGAGTGAAAGATTTCTTTGTTTTTAGCATCTAATAAATCCACTGAAAGATTATTTTAGATGCTGCTTCTCAGACTGAAGGCTGTTAGAGTGCATGAAGTACCACAGAAATGCTTTTATCTTCACAAGTGACCCAAAATGAAAGGGCCTTTTAGAGCTCTTCTCTGTCTGGACTTTTCATCAGTATTATAGCAGTACACTTCTCCTGAAGCTGAGTTATGGCATATGATAAAAAAACTGAGTTGCGTGTTGGTTCACTAAGCCAGAAATCCAGCCTTCTTTGTTGGTAAAACAGACTACTGCGGTTAATGCTAATGTGGATGGTAGCTTATATACAGAACTGAAGGCTTAGCATGTACTACTGAAATACTTACGTGTACAGGGTTACTCATATGTCTTTAGTTTGCAGGACCGATGTATAACAGCAGTAGAACACTTCAGGCTGAGAGTCCTCATGAATAACATCACAGCTGTGATCTACAGCAGTGGTTCCCAACCCTGGTCCTGGAGGACACCCAGCCCTGCACATTTGTGTTTTCCTGCCAAAACACACCTACTTCAGCTTAGGAAGGGCTTGTTAATTAGCGGATTAGTTGGATCAGGTGGCTTGGGAGCAGGGTAAACAGTAAAATGTTGCTTAATTTGAATATCAGCATATCTACAGCTCTCCCCTGAAGAGGTTTTCAGTACATTGTATGGATTTGTGTGAGAAACAGTCATTAGGCACCATTACTCAGTCCATTACTATGTCCATTACACGGATGTGAGAAGACAGAAAGGAGTTCGTATGACAAGATGAAGAGACAGTCGAGTAGATATTTATGCTTAATGTCTGTCTGGGAATGTTCCTGCTGACTCTGAAAGTAGTTCCTATTTTTGTAAGAATATTTTGCATGTTGTTTTATTTCTCTCCTGTTTTACGTTGCGAGTCAGACTTCTGTGGTGAGCATTAATATAATGTGGTGTAAATTGATATAAATGAAAAAGTACAACCCTGAGTAATGGTTGTTTTGCTGTCATTTGTGCAGATATGCTAGTCTGTATTTCTGCTGTGGTTTGGAGGAGGAGGACAATGAACTGCTGGCTTTGGAAGTGCTGCACCGATATGTTGAACTGCTCGATAAGTACTTCGGCAATGTAAGTAAAATTACTTGTGTGAAAGGTTTAAAGGAATTTTTAAACCTAATGTTTATCCACCACTTCTGTATCATACGATCAGTTTCCACTGACAGTGATTTCAGTGCATTTCCTTGTGCTTGAAAAAGTACTTAAAACACATTAAGTTCATTCAGCCTCTGACCTCACATTCCAGCATGAAGAGGCTCTTCTGAACAGCTGTTATCTTGAATATAACAGAAGTATAAGATAGGTGACTATATAGCTGTCTTACTGTTAAGGGTGGGCAATATGGCAAAAATTAACATCATGATACTTAAGTGATTTCAAAATGCATGATTTGAGTTGCAAGAAATTAAATGGCACAGTGAGTTAACCTCCAATCAGCTCTTACTTTGTGTGAATAGGCCTTTATACACGCAACTGAAAAAAAGTTATTGCTATGGCACGAAAACAGTCTTTGAAGTATATCAGATATCTGTCCGTTTGCTATCAAAATTCTCAGATGATAATGATGCCATTGTAATACGAGTGTGTTCTACTTGAACTGTGTAAAATATCTATCTTACCCCGTCTTAGCTTGTGCCCTCTCTCCTGTAATTATTTCTTCTGTAGTTGTTTAGTGTTCTAAAAGTGCTGACGATATCCATGGTGCATTCAGAAGTGTATTGTGATGTAACTTAACACAATAATGATTATATATTGCCATATTGCCTACCCCGCTACTGTAAAGTTGAGCATCAGTCATGCTCCTGGGGAGCTACTGTTGTCATACTTGTCACCTTTTAGATTCTCCCTTCACTCCAAGGCACCAAATTATTCCATTTTATGACCATCTGCTGCATGAAGCTAGCCACTAATGGCTTTGATCAAATTGATCAATACAGCAAAATTTAGAGTATTGCTTATCAGGAGCATTTTTAGAGGCTTCTTTGCCTGCTGGAGAGAAAAGGCAAAATAAATAGAGGCAAGGAAGTCAAAGAAAAAAAAGAATCATTTTGGTTTTATTGTTAAAACTGTAAAGAACATCTTGATGTTGACAGTTTATTTGACCTGTTCCCCCAGGTGTGTGAGCTGGATATCATCTTCAACTTTGAGAAGGCCTATTTCATTTTGGATGAGTTCCTAATGGGGGGAGAGGTCCAAGAAACATCGAAACAGTCCATCGCTAAATCCATCGAAGCTTCAGACATGCTGCAGGAGGTGAGAGACTTTAGAGTCAGGTGAAGAAAGAGGCAGGCAGACAGACAGGCAGGCAGGCACAGTTGTTTGTGTGTGTGTGTGTGTGTGTGTGTGTGTGTGTCTTTGCTTTGTGTGTCTTTGCAGTTTCAACCGGCTCCCCTTGTTCTAGAGGAAAAGACTTTATGGCAGCATGCATATCTAAATGGAGTTGTTATACTCACAACCAGCCACCTGCACTGTACTGTATATCTTTTACTGCTTCTTGCATACTGCTTATAAAGGTTGGGGTGCGTCTTTTAACCAAGGACTGCGCTAAAAGCACCTGTTATTAAAGCGATAGTTCACTGATGCTACATATCAAAATCAATGTCCTTGTCACCTGAAGAACATTTCTGACTGAAAATAATGTTTTTAATGCACGCTGTGGGTCCAGAAATAGTCTTTCTGAGGTCAAATTTGACTTTTTATGTAACATTTTAAAACAGTTCAGCCTCAGGCTAAAAAGGTAGGGGCAGTAGAAATTGCTGTATCCCACCCAGTCTTTGCTCTAGGGCAGGATTTTTAGAAAAAACATCATAACACACAAATAAAAAGAGCAACAGTGGCTGGGTTAGCAGGTATTATTTGGTTGGTGGATCATTCTTAGTACTGCAGTGACACTGACATTGTAGTGGTATATTAGTTTGGATTAACACAGCAGTGGTGCTGGAGTCCACTCTGTTAGACTCGATTACCTTGTTGGTCCACTTTGAAGGTGTAAAGTCAGATGATAGCTCACCTGTTGCTGCACAGTTTGTTAACCATTCTCTAGTTCTTCATCAGTGGTCAGTTTCTGGCCCCAGGATACTGTTGGCTGGATGTAGTCCAGCAGTGACACTGAGGTGTTTAAAAACTTCAGCAGCACTGCTATGTCTGATCCACTTGTACCAGCACAACACCTACTAACATGCCAGTTAGATTGAACAAAAAAAGAAACAGTGGTGCTACATTTAAAAAAAACTAAAAACAAAAAAACAAATAATTGATATTTAGCATTTCACAGACTATGCTACACTAGCCAAGTAAACAGCACTAATTATACTCTCTTTGTAAAAAAACATGCAGTTGGTCAGTATTGTTTTTTTTGAAGTGATGATGATAAATTATTATTATTATTATTATTATACATACATCATCTAAACCGCTTATCCTTCTGGGTCGCGGTGGGGTGCTGGAGCCTATCCCAGCTGTCATTGGGCGGAAGGCAGGATACACCCTGAACAGGTCGCCAATCCATCGCAGGGCAGACAGACATACACAGTCACACACACACACACACACCTAGGGGCAATTCAGCATGTCCAATCAGCCTGACTGCATGTTTGTGGACCGTGGAGTACCCGGAGGAAACGCAGACACGGGGAGAACAGGCAAACTCCACACAGAAATGACCCTAGTTGCCCGGCCGGGAATCGAACCCAGGCCATTCTTGCTGTGAGGCGACAGCGCTACCCACCGTGCCACCGTCATTATTATTATTATTATTATTTAAATATATAGTGGCAGCTCAGACAGTCTTAAAGACAGGTGATAAAGTGTAGTAATGATAGAAATTAGAGTTGAGCTTGATTTTCTTTTATTATAATTACTGTTTGGTAACAGTAACTGAAGATGATGAATAAATGAAAGTAAATTTAATTCATTTAAAGTCATATTAAGAAATGAAATAGAAATAGAAATAGAAATCTTCTAAATAGAACCGTTGCCTTTACTAAAAACCCTTTGAAGAATTTGAAGATGTGTGTAGTAAAGAACTATCTATCCTAAAAGATGCAGGTAGCCAGTTCAGTTCTTTCTAAACAGGAGTGATCTGATCTCTCTTTTTTGTTTTTGTTAGGATCTGTGCTGCCGCATTTTGTGGGAGTTATAGATAGACTGTTTTTTAGGAAGCCCAGTAAGCAGAGCATTATAGTAATCATCTCTGCTTGTAACAAATGCATGAATAAGTTTCTCTGCATCACTCTGAGATAGAAAAGGTAGAACTTTAGTAATATTTCTCATATGATAAAGAGCAACTTAGTGACTGTGTTCACATGCAGGATAAAACAGCGCAGAGTCGGAGATTACACCCAGGTTTCGTACTTCAGGTTCAGTATACGAAACAAAAGAGCTGAGCTTCTCATTAAGCATCTTTCGCTAAACTTTAGTACCAAGGATCAGTATTTCATTTTTTTTTTTATTTAGTTGTAGAAGATTTTGTGAAAATCATAATGAAAAAAACTGGAATGGAAATGGAATGGGATGGAATGGAAACTCTTCACTAAAAGTTGATTTGAGTTTAACATATTTGAAAAAAAATATAAAAAAACCTTTTTATTACCCAATATATTAAATTCAGCAAATGAACTGTAATTGTGCATAAAGTGTGTGCTCTGTAGGAGAAAATTTACTTCATATTATTCTCTTAGATTTACATTTTGCATACAACTGAAGATGTAAACATTGACACAGTGTTTCCTGATGACTTCACCAGCTTTAGCTGATTTTTCAAAAATGTTTTACTGGCTCACTGAATTTGTCAAAATACAACAAATGTAGTGTTATAGTCGCTACATTTTTTGATACAATGTACCAAGCAAGTTATATATATACAGGCTCAATAAGCGTTTAATTTGCATCATTAACAGTAACAGTAGACACGCCCTGTAGAATCCTGGGAAGATCTTAATTATTGCAGCTTTATGCTGGGAGAAAGGGCGTGAATGTGCGCAACTTACTGTGATATTTCTCCTCTGCAGACAATGGAAGAGTACATGAGCAAGCCAGCCTTCTAGCAACAGAGGAAAGGAGTACAGACCAACAGAACAAAACAGGAAATCTGTCTGGATCTGCAGCACCTGCAAGAACTCTGGTCTGCTGGAGCTGGTTATGCTTTTAAAATGAGAAGTTACTTGACTGCTGCTGTCAGAGGTCTGTGTAGTGAGCATATGAAGGAAATCAGTGTGATATGTAATAATGTTTGAATGAACATCCACCTCTTCAGAGTTTTATGGCTTGTTAGGCAGGAGATTTTTAAATGTTGGTATTTTACATTATGTATGTATGTGTACAGTGGTTCTCAGCTCCAGTCTTGACACTTTTAGTTGGATTCTTTCCTTGCTCTAACACATTTCAGTCAACACATCGACTAATAGTTCTTTTGTGACTTTGAGTGAGGAAAACAAACGTGAGAAGGACAAGGTAGAACAGCGAGGAACACTGCAATTGTCCATCAGCAATAATTTAGGTTATCATAGGACTCAATATGTACAGATTGGTAAGACCGCCTTGCACAGTAATGATGCCTCGTGGAATCCACTTTAACCTTTATATCAATATTTTGACTTGCAATAATTCTACTGAACTTTGAGTTGATTTAAAGTGCCTAATCTGTGATTGTATGTCTCTCTTCTGATTGATTATGCTGTATGCTTGAGATGACTTAATTGAAAACATTAAGGGAAACTGTTTTGTATGCATTGATTATTACTACTTATGCTGTTTTGAGCACATTACCAAATCTACTCTGATGATGTTGAAGATTAAAATTGTATTTTGATATATGTATAGTCTGCTTGTGGTTTTTGTCCTTGTTCTTACCAGAGCTGTTCAGGTGCAGAAGTGACGTAGTGCAGCATTGCTGATGAAGAACGCATTTTGTCAGGATTCCATAGGTGTGTTCAAGCACTGCACTTCATATAAATCTGTAGTTTGATCTTTTTCTTTCTTCACCCTTGCTAAAATGGGTGATTGCTGGTTTTCAGGCTGTGCATTCAGCTGTAGCTTTTAATCTCTTTTGAAAAACATTTGCATAATAAGTCAACACAATACAACGAGAGGGAAAAATAATACGGTAATGCTTTATTAATCTCAGAGTCATCTCACACTTCAGAACACGTACAAAAATGGTTAAGAAACGAGTACCACCATCCACCTTTTTGTCTAATAGTGATACAGCTTGTACGATAGGACCATACCAAGCTCCGTAGTGCTCAATAGATAAGAGGACATCATACTAACAAACATAATATGAACAAACACCACTAACCCATAGCAGACGATATGCCGTTTACTCTTGCATGTTTAAATATGATATTATTTACATCTTAGAGAGTTTCATGAAAACTAAAGCACTTGAAACGTTAAGTTTGAGGAGGGTATAGGCATGTCCCTCTGGCAGAGGGATGGGGAGGAGTTGTTGGTTTTGGGGTTCCCTCTTACCCACTACATCCCGGCCACTAGTTTGCCACGGTGCTCCTTCTCCCCTTCGGTTACAGGCTCCTGGGGCTGCTGGTCACTCTGCTCTGCCACTCCGTTCTCCGTTGGTGGCTTCTGAGGTGCTTCCTCCTCCTCTTCCTCCTCCTCTAACACCTCCTTCCCCTGCGTGTCTCTCTTAGTCGGCGTGCTCTTACCTGTGTCCACCTGCTCAAAGTAATCTTTCATGGCCTCTTCATACGCCTCATATGGGAACCGCGAGTCCACTGCCCTCTTGTGCTCCTCGTCCGGGTACTCTGTCAGGAGTTTGGCCGCGAGGAAGGTGGCCACCTCGTCTTCGTCCACTGCGTCATCATAATCATCTTTCCTCTTGCTGGGAGCCCTATTCGTGTCCGATGTGGCAAAAAGGCTGCCCCGCCGTCCACTTGGTGTGAAGTACCTTGACATGGCTGTCTTGTACGGTCTTGGCTTGGTGAAGTACCTGGCGCTCTTGCTTGCTGTGTTGCCCAGTCCGAGAGCCTTGAGCAGTTCTTCAGTCTTGATGTCCATGGGCCCTTCGCTCACCGTGACTTCAGGCTGCCGCCCGCTGTAGTACTTGATCACGCGACTCCGGTAACGAGGCTGCTGCTGAGTCGGTTTCCTTGCCAGCTGCGGCTCGGGCAGACGTTGCTGCTGCTGCTTCCTCGTCTCCTCCATGAACAGCAAGCCCACAAGATCTTCAGGAGGAACCTGGAGCTTCATGGACACAGCTGACAGCAACTGCTTGATGGCACGAGGATCGAGCAGGGAGGGTCGGTTCAGGCTAAGGCTTGAGCTCAGTGGGTGTCTCCTTACACCCTCCGCCTGCAGGTCCCGTTTCCGCGCCTGATCCGTCATCTCCAGCACCTTCAGCAGGTAATAGTCCACGAGCTTCGTGTCGTCATCATTATCATCACCCTCATCCACATCTCCTCGCTCTCCGGCCCTGCGTCGCTGTGGCTCTGCTACCGCCTCGCTCTCCTCGTCGCTGTCCGCCAGTCCGCGCTCCAGCTCCTGGCGGCTGCCCTTCACCAGCTCTTCTGTCTCTACCTGCTCCTCCAGTGGCACCCACTCCTCGCCTCCGCCAGCCACGTCCTCGTATGCCACGTCCCGGAGCCGGTACGTGTCGTCCTGGTCCCCGTCGTCCTCGCTGTCCCGCTTGTGCTGCAGCCTGCCGAGCTCCTCCAGCAGGGAGCGCATATTGGCGAGGCTCTGCGCCGTGTACTGCTCGTCCAGGTCCTCGGTGGCTCGCTTGTCCTCCCGCGCGTTCTCCTCGTCCTCGAACATGAGTGGGTACTTCTTATGAGGTCTCACCACGCCCCCGTATTCGCCCGCGAGACCCTCCCCGTCGTCGGTCGCCGTCGGTGGCCGTCTGCTTTTGTGCGCGCGCCGATCGCCCCCCACCGCTGCTTCTCCCTCGCCAGCCTGCTGCTCGAGCGCCCGGAGCGCCGCGCGCACCCACTGCGGCGCGCCGCCGTCCGGCCAGCGGGCGGCGTCCTCGTCCCGGAGCGAGGCGAGCTGCACGAGCAGACGGAACTTGTCCACCTCGTCATAGTCGCCCGTGGGCGCCTCGGCGGCGCCGTCCGTGCGCCGCTTCAGGCTCTCGATGTACTCCAGAGCCTTGACCATGTCCGAGCTCGGGGACGCGTACGCGGAAGGCTCGCGCAGCCGGTGGTGGCGGAGGGACGCCGCGCGCACGGCGGCGAGCGAGTGGAGGAGAGCGGCGAGGAGGAGCGCGGCCTCTCCCGCGGAGAGCTTACGAAGGGAAAGCGCCATAGCCTGAGAGAGAGAGAGGGAGAGAGAGAGAGCATGGTTATGAGGTTGAGGAGAGAGAGAGCGAAGGATAAACAATACGGTTAGCTGCGCAGCGGGGCTCTAGACTCGCATCCATTCAGGCTTAATTGTATTTGGGTGAGGTTACTCACTCTGAGAGACGCTCCAGTCACAATTACAGCAAAAATACTGAGCCAATGATCTGAACCGAGAGCTTCTGTCTGGGAGAAAGCCTGAGCCAAACTGAGCTCGATGAGATCTTATCTGGCTTTAAACAGTGCAGCCTCTACCGGATGAGTCACCGCCCGTTGTCAAGGTAACCTTTACTTGTGGCTCCCATCACTCCATCACATCACTGTTTTTCCTCCAGCTTAATGGTCTAATTTGCAAAAAGAAAAAGAAAAAAAAAACATACTGGTAAACACGCAGACAGGCCCAGGCTAAAAAACTCAAAGATAAAATCAGTTTCAAAAGCTGCGATCATCGTTAATGCCGCTCACTGTGTATTCACCAAAACAAAAACAGACAGAAGTGAATGTCGTCACTGTCCAAAAAAAATCCAGTATCTTCAACATAGTGACTCTACGGGCAGACAAAAAGTTCATGTGAAGAGTTTTATTCCTAACAATTTGGAGCATTTCTGTTGGTCCGTTTATCATCAGCTATTCATACAATGCAAACAACAGCCTCGATATTAATATATATTATAGATGTTTCCAAACACTAAAGTACAGTAAGTACAAAACATCTTTCGGCCATAAATACACGATAAATGATAAATACACGAGAGAAGCATACTTCAAAGGTTCTTTAGTAAATGCAGTGGTTCTGTTTGGAACCATGAGTTCTATATTTCATACTTAAATGCTTCTTTGTATAGTGAAATGGTTCTTGAGATTGATGGGGACTGTTCTATATGGTTCTAGAGAGTACCGATTTGAAACGTTCTGCATAGCACCAAAAAGGGTTCTACCATTGTTAAGCTTGACATCGTAACAGCAGCAGAACCCTTTTTGGTGCTATACAGAACCCAATGCAACACCTTCTCCATCAATCTGAAGATGCATGCGAATGATCCCGTATAGGACTCATGGTTCTGAATAGAAACACTGCATTTACTAAAGAACCCTTGATGAACCTTCTTTTGTGAAGAGTGACGAGGAAGTATAATTAACAATGTGGACACGAGGCGGAAAAAATATTTACAATTATTTCCCGAAAACAGACCGAGCATTAATTATTTTCCAGCTGAAACTAAACCGAGCCAAGAGGGACAAAGGCAAAAAAAAGAGTGAGAATTTAGCCGAAACTGAAGAAAAAACGAGCCCTGATGTCTCAGCGCTGATATGGGAGCTGTAGACTAACAGATAAGAGACCGCGGTTCAGACAATAGGCTGACAGACTGATCGCGAAGCTGAATGGAGCTCTATTACAGCGCTAGTCTTTCTTCACCGTCATCAGCGGCTCTCAGCGCTGGTTCATTCAGAACTGATCTCCAAAACCCGCCTTACCTTCAGTGAGGTCAGGAGGGAGCTCAGAGAGTGGACGGCAGCGACACTAGCATTCTCCCGCCGCGCGCTCCCGCTCCGTTTCAGCACCGGACAGCTCCCCCCGCGCTTTAAGAGGCACCTGATCGCAGCGTCACTGCCTTCCCCTCCCCTCCCCACCCCTCCCCGAGCTGGCCCGCAGCCTGTTATTCAGCCTCAGCTCCGCGACTCCTGCTTTATTCATGAAGCCGCTCGTCTATTTTTGTTTTTGCACACTGAGAAAATTCACTTTACAGCGTTTTTTTCCTTTTTGTTCTCTCTGGAGAGGACTGA